CTTCGACCTCTCTGGGTACTGTTCATGGTCATGAATCTTGACCTGCCTTTGCCTTGGTATCCATTGTTGTACCTTTGTATTTGACTGGCGTAATTTTGATTGCTGTAGTTTTTTTTTATAAATGGCAAGTTATTTTTGGGTTTTAAATCCCAGTATGGGGATTTAATACCAATGGGGTGTTTATTTATGTCCCCCATTTCTTTCTGTTTTGACATACAATTGTCCCCAAAAAGTTGGTCAGTTACTGGAATTTCAGCAGAAACAATTTTCTTGTACCTAGGGGTCAGACATGATTTGATTTCATTTCTGCGTTTCATAGATAAATTGTAAAAACTGTTTCCTAGCATGCTAATGGCATCACCAAGCATCTTTTTGTTTTTAACTGATTCTGTATCTTGTTTACTAATCAAAGATTCTGCCATCTGAACAAGGGAAATTAACCCTGTTGCAATAGATTTCTGGATTATCTGTAAGTTTAAATTAACTGCATGGGCATTTTTTCCCCATAACATCCCAGATTTCTTTATTTACACGTGGGACTTTGAGATTGCAATTCTCTGGACGTGCGTATGGTTTTTGCAACTCAGTCATAGCTTCTTTGTCAGACTTAACAGATATTGCTGCATTTACAGCTTTAGCCAATCCATCATTAACTTTACGACCTGTTTTTTCTGTAGAATTTAATTGGGGGATATCCCACAAAGCATTGTCCTCTTTCAGATCATTATCTATGGTAATTTGCAAAGCTTTACTATCAAAAACATCTTTGAAGGCATCATTTGGATTAATACCTGGGATTGAAGGTGAGGGCTCTGGGTTGTCTAAATAACTCAGATCAACATAAAACTCATTTTGCCCATCATATACATTATAATCTACACTGTTTTGATCATAATCTGGAACAGACACAAACTGTTTTACTGGTTTGTTACCTTTATTGTATACATCTGCCTGTGTTACAGTGCAAGATGGAATTTGTTTATTGTTGCTGACATTGTGTTCCATAGATTCTGAAACATTATTTTGACCAGAACGGCGCGCCGTATTTTCGGCCATTTGACTTGACAAAAATGAAATAGACTCGAGTATTTTATCAATCCCCAACTGAGTTTTCAAATCATTGAAATTGATGTCATGAACTATTTGAGGGTTCGTATCTGTGCTTACCTGTTTCCTAGATTTCTTTGTTTTTGCACGTGTTTTATCTAACGTACCTGGGGTGTGCGTTTTACGCTTCACTCCCCTCGTAGTTTTCTTGTCATCTGTGGCATTACTAGCCGAACTTCTAGTGGCAACTTTATTACCGAATAATTCCTCAATATCTGAGAATTTGTCAGTATCGCTGTCTCTAAGAGACAACATGTCCTCATTATCGGACGCCATTTCCGAGAACACGGCAAAATTTAAGAACAAATTAACAACCCAAAACTTATCTGACTTACAAAAACAGTAGTGTAAAATAAATGTAGCTGTTTTACAGCATAAACCCCCCAAACAAACTTGAACAACGTTCTAAGTTTAACAGTGTTTTAATAATCGAACACCACACCTGTGTTACAGGTGATTACTTGTCGCTCGCTCAAAGAAATGCTCGCGGCCATGTTCACCACGGTACCATCAAGTTACTTTGTTGCCGCGGCGGCAGTTCCGCGAAGAATGATCTTGCTCTCCACAGTAACAGCAGGTCTGCACAAAGGTAGAATTTTGATGTTTAAGAATATGCACATGAGTACTGTAGAGCTTGAGAAGCAAAGCAGTGCCACAGTCGGACAAATGGATGCAATCTCTCCAAAAAGAAAGGGAATTCCAATGCGCGGATATGTTAAGGAAGCATATAAGACATTTCTCGGGAAAGTTTTAAAGAAAATTAAGTTTGATAATTTAACAGAACCGCCGATAAACGGAAACTATTATTATCTATTACATCAAGTTAAAACAGTGTTTAACACAAAGATGTGCACCACCACCATGGCATCACGTGACTTCTATTAATAGCCAAATTTTCCTAAACGCTAAGAGAACAACAATACCCCGGATTTTAATGATTTCTTTCAGTAAATGATATAATTGAAAAACATCCATTTTGCCTAAAAAGTGCTGCTAGAATCCCACCGTCCTGTCAGTAAAATAATAATTTCACATATTCGCTCTGAACCATACCCGATGTTTTGAATTTTATACATATGAGCCGAGATTTTTCCGTAAAGCCATGCTTTACTCGGGATTCTAGCAACACTTTCCAAGTATTTTAGAAGGCAAACTTTCAATCTGTACTAATCTTAGGTTTTGAAATATCCAGCTTCTTGTTGTTCTTTTGCATAATTTTATTCACGAATGACAGAGGAAAGGCCGACCGGGATACATATATAGCTGAATGTCTTCGAAAGAGAATATTATCGATGAAAATAAATAAGCATATCTGTTTATTTAATGAAATTATAATGATTTTCACAAAATATTCACGATATTTGCCTTAAAAACTCTTTTTTACGTATCTTTGTACATACTGTCTCAGCCAAATTCTCTTTACACGGCATGATCAATTACCAAGGTACTAGATGTACACATATGACGTCATCGTTGGTAGATTTTAATCAACATGACAGATACAGCATAACAAAATAAAACTATTTTATTTTTGTTAATGTTTAAACGTTTCTTTTCATTTTCTAGAATTATATCACATCTCTAAATTACAATATAACGAAAACCTGTGTTGTAAATTGACGTCACTTCGCCTGCTATGACGTCATAATGTAGCACTGATAAAGTTAAGGTAGAATATTTTGTCTGCTTCCTTATTACTCTGCGTTTTTGAACGACTTACTCGAATCGATTCACACAGGACCGTACTCCTCACAAAGATATCTAATGCACTCATTCACTTCGGTTACATCTGCGTCCTGTCTTGGAATCACTTCCGATAGAAACACTGCTATCTTTGGATTTCTTTTCTTCAAATCAGCAACTATTTCTGCAAAGTCATTCTCAATCATTCTCAATGTAACGGAAATTTGCAACAGCATTACCCCTAGTCTGTATAATAACACTTTGAATGAATGTGTGCAATACTGGCACCTCGATTTGTACTTACTTTCACACTTGGATCTAGGCCACGGTTTTATTTTCCTTTGAAGAATTGAACTCTCGATGACAAGTGTAGCTATATGGTTATATTCTCTTACAGGAGGCTGAGAACTTCTTGCGATGTTGCTTCGTCTGTTAGGGGTCGATATATTTTGACTCTCTTTGGAGATGTTTACATCTGACTTTTCTTGGTCATTTTCTTTGTGGACTGGGTGGTTTTCAACACAGGACTGGGACTGACATCTGAATCCATTGATGTACTGGAGGTACTTTTTTCAATAGGAGAGGTACACTGGGTATGCCTTGAAATCCCATTTGTCACTGAGAGTCCCTCAGTCAAAGTTTCCTTCTGTTTCACTTTTTTCCCGGGAGTTTGTGTAGAAGCATTATAACACGGCTTTGTTTGTTCTGCTTCCATTAGCTGCTTCTTCAGGATTTCAACTTCTTTGGTAAGCATTTTCTCCGTCTCGGAAAGATTTTTTATGCTTTCTGTGCTTTTACAATTGCTGCATCCCATCTCAGTACTTTATTCATTCAATTTCTTTGAGGGTTTGGGGGTTGAAGTACAGTTCGGCTGGTCAACAATAATTTTGCACTCTGTTACAGAGTCAGTGTGGCTCATATCTGGTTGACTGTTTATTTCGTTTAGAAAGTCTTTCCTGTACCAATCAAACGCACTGGTCCATTGTATAAGAATGGTATGTGTGCTACTTTAAATTGTTACAGTCACCGAATCACATTCAGATTTGTATATGCACCCATTTCTTTTATTGTTTCCATGAAATAAAAGCAATTTCCGAAGCACAGATAAAACGAAATCATGTTTCTGCATGACCATCATAGTTTATGGTCACACTTACTTTGTTTAGTTTAACCTGAAGAAAGTCAGATAAACTCACATAAGGGTCCAGTTCATTTTCTTCTCCATTGCATGATTGTGATAGTCCACTAAATGAGTTCAAAACTGATAAAGTAAACTATAATTTACACTCAGATCCATCATTTCATTATCATTTTTAGTAATCAGCTGGGTATAGATAAGAGCTCATAAAAACGCGTCTTATCTTATATAAAAAAATCTGTGTTTCAATTAAAATGAATACAGTACACTTAAAACAAACTAGATATTGAATGGTTTTCCCGAGGTTTTTTCACTTCTTGTACACTTCTTGTACACGCTCTTTACACGTTTTGTACACATTTTTTTTACACGTTTTATACCCGTTTTATACATTATTTGTACAAGTTTTGAACACGTTTTGTACACATTTTATACACATTTAGTACACGTTTTGTGCACTTTTTGTACACTTTTGTACACTTTTTGTTCAGGTTTTGTACACTTTTTGTACACTTTTTGTACACGTTTTGGTACACTTTTTGGCTTATATGCAACTAAGAGATGCTGATGGAAACCAGTTGAAAGTACAACATGTGCCACAAGAGCATACATACAGAATTGTGACTGAAGGGTCTATGAAGGTCATAGAAAAACAGAACTATAACATTCAGTTAATGTTTAGACCTGAAAAAAAATGATTTTTATCAAATTGCCAATCATGCTTAAAAATGAATGTTTGTCAGTTTATTTAAACAACTTATTGGAACAACTGCAACAAGTTGAATTCAATTGTTTTCAATATAGTTAAACAAAGTTAGCATTGGTTATGAGAAAGTCATGTTCAAGTGTATACTTTATAATACAAAAGACGTGTTAATAGTGCCTGCTTTTATGAACCAAGTATTTATGGTTACATGTATAGTATACATATTGTAGAAATGTCAATTGAGGCACTTCATTTTAAGAGCTTTCATCTCATTATTTTTGCACTGTATACGTGATACAGCGAAAACTTTTGTCTGACTTAAATACCTTAATTGCCTCTCAAAAGAAGAAAAACTGTTTAACGTGTCAGACAGTGATAATTCTGGATAGGAAGTTCACGACAAGAGCCAAGTATTAAATATTTACCAGCGAAGTCATGACAAACACATGATGAATAGAGTCACTTGCAGGTAAATCATTTTTATTCATTTGTACTGAATGAATATATCTATTCGATTAAATGAAATCTATTAGATAAAAAGAAATATTCATGAAAGAAAGTATAATAGCAATCTTTGAATTTATTCCCTGAAACTATATTATAAGTTCAGAAACTTGCAAAAAAAACATGCAAAGTTCTCAATAAGTCTCTTTTCATGGCACGTGACTTTGTGTATAAATACCGATTATTTTTAACTGAAATTGGTGGAAAATTACAAATGACACTCTAAACAATTCTTGAATATAAAAAAAACTACATTTTAAATATTTCTTTTAATAACTCTATGGCAGGTGTCAGAAATGGTTGTTTGGAAATGCAGTGGATACATTAACGTATTTATTATCATTTTAATATTTTATACGTGAAATGAGAATAAAACACCCTATGTGGTATATAATACAAAAATTACGACTGCTTGATGTCTTTTATAATTTTTTTATTGAGACTTTTACTGACTTTACTAGATATTAAGTTTATCAGTTGATGATTTATTGTTCATCTTTCCGTTGTTAGATAACGTCAGATAACGTTCAAATCATTTCAGTTTTATGAAAATCCCAGGATCAGTCTATCTTAAACGCGTTTATTATCGACATAGGCTAAGAAAAAATGTATTTCGTTACTTGTTCTTCAGAAATAAGAAATTAAAAAAAATAAATCTTCAATGGAAGTGGATTTAAGTTGTGATCGCATTTTGGAGGCTCTGTTTTAAGTGTTTATCCCACTAAACAAATTAAAATTGATGAACATTGTCATTCATCTTTTTTTATGCGTAAATATTTTCCTTTCGATTGCTTCATTTCTTCTCATTACATTTATGTACATATTTATCTTCGCTTTTTTTGGTACTTATTAATATTTGTTGTATATGTTGATTTTAATCTCCGTTGGAGGAAATAAATGATGAATGAATGAATGATTGTTGCATAAGCGCACAAAAGGGCCTACAACTAAATAATCAACTCATTTAATATTGTCAATTTTCATGTATACAAACTTTCAAAGTATAAACATTATACTTGCTGATAATTTATCATATTTTCTCCTTTCCGTAATTATCTCTTCAATCGCTATGCTTCAATTTCGGGCTCGAGTGACGAATTTCATGTAAATAGAAGATGGCATTTGCAATGTTTGGTGGATTATTATTCTTTACATTCATGAAGGCGGGTTAACATAGGAAAAGAAATTTTGACATATATTTTTAAAAATGTTTTTCAGCGTTGGCTTGATTATTCATTTCAAAAGGATATTAGATATAGCAAAAACAAAAGTATTTGTATATTGTGTACATTGGCTTCAAATAGTTCGCGAAATGCAGATGTAAAATTCGGTAAAATTCACATGCACAGAAAATAGTTCAGTAAATTAAGGTATCAAAATATTTCAGGAATTTAGGAAAAATGGCAAATAAACTTCTATCACACACGATACGGCAACCATAACACGTATTCATTTATATTTTCACTCTGAAAATAAAACAGAACAAAAAAGAGTCCAACAGGAGGAAAAAAGAAACATGTGCGTTTTAGACGGGAAAGTTTGACGTCACAATAAACACGTTTTTCTATATCAACGCTTATGTCATTAAGCCTGATTTTGTCGGAGAGCGGTCTATATGATTATATATATCCTAGGGAACTCTCTATATGAATTACCCGTATTTAGGTACATAACTTGAAAATAAATTTAAACTTAAAATCGACCTTGCAATGCAGTGTTACGTCTTATACGCATATAAAGCTATGGGAAGCCTTAAAAGCACTGCGAAAATCCGTCGTCAATTCAGTGTAAAAATAATGGACTAACAATGTATGAAAAATTTCAGGCAGCATTTGACTCAATGATAAATTGTATTTGCTTACAAAGCCATTGTATCGACCATAGAATTTATGAAATAATGACTTTAAACGAGACTGCTGATATTCTTGTTTCATCAACTTGCTTCTCAATAATTTACCTCCATTTAGAAAGTGTTCATACCTAGAGCATGCGTATCGAATCAACTGTATTTTCTAAACTCAACTGAGATATATATACTCCGTATGCATGTCATGAAGGTATATTGCTTCAAAAGTAGAGAACATTGACGATAGAAAAGTTAAGGTCATTACGTTTATCATATAGCTTGGTTGTTAGATTACGGAACTATTAACATCTTTTTCAAGTACAATGTAAAATATCCAAGTATGAAACAGATATGTCAGACTTTGTTGTATCTTTTATCTCTAGCTTCCCAGGATATGTAGTATCTAAGTATGAATGGATATTACCATTTAATCCATTCTGAGAATGTGTTTAGTTTTCTTTTCATATTACGTCTAGGACCTTGCATAGTCTTAGAACAAATTCATAATGGAATTGAATTTATTTCGCTCAATGGAGAATTGGGCTCCCTTTATTTTATATCATTTACAATGAATTATTTTAGGACTCTATAAAACCTTATTGAAAAAGTACTAGTAATTACGTTCCAGCTGAAAGAAGGAAACACACAAGAACAATCGAGAATATTTTCTTTTAGATCGACATTTTTTAAAATTTCGTTTAAAGTTGAAAAATTGGCTCAGAACGTTTGGTTATATCGGTAGGAAATGTATGGTGATTAAAATTGAAATGTGCCAAAATGAAATATATGTAGAGAGCAAACAGAATTTAAGCTTAAAAGTACGAAGGACATTAAATAAAAAATGTCATTGGGGCTCGGAAAAAAACGCTTTTCTATAACGTTGTCTTAATGATTTAACTAAAATATTCTCTTTTAATCAAAACACATATCCAAAACATTTTCATTCAATTTCTAATTGTTTTTCGAACACATTTTTGAGTATGACCCTTTGTATACTGGAATATGGCATATTCTATGATTTGCTGTACTTGTTTTTTTTCTGATAGATGTTTTTCTAAGTTTACGAAATGAAACAAGTTAAAGGTTGAAAGTCCTGGCAAGATTTGTTGATGTGACAAAACATTAACTTTCTGTTTATCCCCAAAACTTTACTCTTCATGGCCTGTGGGTTTGGACGCCGTCATGAAGACATTTCACGTAGTGAATTCCTCAATTGAAATGTAAATATTATTAGGTACACAGTCAGTAAGTGACCTAATACGGATTCATACAGGGTGTGAAATGGAAATTCGTATTGGGCGAGGCGAAGCTGTATAACGAATTTATCCCGCTGAAGACCTTTTCCAATAAAAAAAAATATTTGTGCATATTATGAAAATATTAAGTTATAATCCAATAACAATCAACATGAAATATCGTTACGGTTACAAGAAATTTAACTAAATTACCTACGTTAACCGTTTCTTAGCCGCCATTTTTATTTACAATAACAACGCTTCGAACGGAATCGCGTGCCTGATTTTCATATTACGCCTCGACGGAGACGTGATATGGAAACAGAGACGTAATACGGAAAATACGGTCTGAAGCGGGATAATAAATAATACTACTCTGGAACAGGAAAACACTGACCACTAAAACATCAAATGTAGGATGAGGAAATAGTGGGAAAAAACTGTCGATTATACATTGTTTAATCAATGGCGTGACAAAAAGTTTGAAAAGCATCAGTCAGAATTGTACTTAACTGTAGATTGTATTTGCTAACAAGACCATTGTATTGACCATGGGATAGACATATGTTGATATCTTTTTTATTAACATGAGTTTTTATATAATGGAAATTGTCCTAATTAATATGTATGTTTGGGGTCTCAACCGAGTTCGGCCAAAGCGACACATTTTCATTTGCCGATGTCTTTCCTTATAGGACAATATAAATTATACTGACATTCAATTTTCAATGACATGCAGTTGGGAAAACCGCACGAGACAATTGGAAAGTCTTGATTGTAACGTTATATGATGGCGTACATGTGCGTTATGTTGCATTTCAAGAACAAGCCCAAATAGCGCTTATTTTTCATTGTAACAGGAATAAAAGTAAAATATAAGTATAAGAAATAAAATATGATTTTTTTTAAGAGTTTTATTGGGATATGACATGAAGTCGGTACGTAGAATTTGATCACTCGACCGACTTCATGTCATATCCAAATGAAACTTTAAAAATGATATCTTATTTCTTAATCAACGTACATCAACTGTTTGTCACGTGACATGTTTAAAATTAGAAAAAAAAGTATGTATGTAACTATGTATACAAAGATCATAACAGTTCAACAATATACGGATAATTTTTCACTATTCAATTGATTTTGTTTTCTTTAAGACAAATTCCTAACCCGAAATGTGCTGGTAGCAACTTTCCTATGCCCAGGAATAACATAAAAATTTAGCAATCTTATTATAAACCTCGTGCATTTACAATTTACTGAAAAATCCAACAGCGCACAACTTGGTCCCGGGACTTTTCAAAATAGTAGAGACAATAGTTACATGTGTACAAAATATTATACAATTATTGCATTTTTTTTTTTGGTCAATACAATGATTTAGCCATCTGAGGAGTATAATGTTCACCGAGCACGAAGGGCAAGGTTAATATTGTGCTTCGAAGATTGCTAAAGCATTGTATTGACCAAAATAATAGCAATCATTGGTTTATTATATGATTCACTGATAAAATGATACAGCTCATTACTTGTTTGCATTTAATTAAGTCTTAGCCAAATACAAGAGAGAAGTAGAATTAGAATGTAAATAAATCTTACAAGTCGTATCAATTTGAAGTTTTTTAAATCAATTTAAGTTGCCATGACAAAAATATTATTTCAGTCTTTTCAAAAGGATAGATTTTGAAAGGAAGGGGTATTATCAGGGAAAACAGACTGCCAAAAAGTAAAAATTTTCGTTCAGTAAATGTGTTGAAGTGGGGTCCCTTCATCCCCTCTTACAACACTCACCCGAAAATATATTCGATTATTTTTTGTTCACATGAAAAAATAAAGTCATAGTCGTTTAAATAGCTTTCCAGAACAATTTGTATCATTTTGGGATTTCCCGATCTATTTTAGATCAATGAAGAGGAAATAAATCCTTGTATTCACCTGGAACGTCACGTGCAGGTCAATACAACGTAGTATTTTTTCTAACATAGTTGAATCTCAGCCAATCAGAGAGATGGAAACTATTCAATCATAAAGTAACATAATTTATAGTTAAGCAGATATCGTTGAAAAATTTGAGATTCTCAGATTGTCTTAGCCAGTGCAGTGAGATCAAGATGGCTTTGATTTTATATTCAAAATGTGTTATAATGACAAGATAAGTTATACATTATTTTATGGTTACAACAATTTTGAGAAATCACAGTATGTATGAAAAAGAAAAAAAAATATTTTTTCGACTATTCATTTGTATAGTTTCAACGTGACGTCATAATAGATTTCCGGAAGCTCTGCATAGACTGATATACCTTTGGGAGTCCTTATTTTTTTTATAATGTAAAGTTTATATATTTGTCTAATAAGAAGGAGTATATAATAATCAAAGAAAAAAAAATCACCGCAAACACACAACGCTTTCATAATCCAGTCTTTAATATTGAGGTCAACACTCTTGTAAAGTAATGGGAATATAACGTCTTTCATGTCCCAGCTCCATTATGACATAATTTATTTAAACTTCTATCGTTATTTACGACAGTAGAATTCGCATTTCCATAGCATTCAATTCACATTTTTTTTCAAAAGGAACCCTGATACCTTTATTCATGTTAGTATCATTTTCAAAAAAGAAGTCAGAAACGAAAAAAAATTCCGGGAGATTGTACGCAATACCAATATATTTCTTTCTCATGCGATAAAAAAACATATTTCATTTAAGCATTCTTTTAAAATAGAAAATTACACTTTGAAATTTGCATATTTATTTAAATTACAGTACCGACCAGATCCAACCTGACACCAAAGCAGTCCCAGAAAGCAGTCCCCGGGAATGCTCTGGGAGTGCCTTGTGTCAGGTTGGGTCTGGTCGGTACTGTAAATTCCTAAAAATCATGTTCTTATCAATTTCATTTTTGCAATCTATATTTGAAAAGAATAATTTTTTAAAAATGTTTAAGAAATTTGTAGGCACCTTTCATTTACTTGATCGTGACTTTAAATACGCAAATCCAATACTTCAATATTTGCCGTTGCCCTATGTCTATATTAAATTACTTTCTATATATACAACGATAAGACGAATAACAAGCATGAATATTATGTATAAGTAGCTTGTTTTGAGAAATAAACTAACCAAACAAACCGTATTTTTTTTATATTAATAAAGAATTAAATATCTAGAAATATATACAGTGTTGTGATTAATCTTAATACGCAGAGAGACACAGAATAAATTGGGAGGAAGAGCAAAGTATGTAAATGTTTTTCTTTTTTTTCATATTATATAAAAGTGGAATAACTGAACATTAAATAAATTCTGATATCTTATATCGAGTATTTAATACTTAATGACAAATATCAGGAATTCGTTGTTTACCCAGGTTCAATAAGAATATAAAATCTGCAGAAAAGAACAATATATTATGTTTTCAAATGACCCCTTTAAATTGAGTTTCAATTATACACCCGTACAAAGCTTCACTTTGCACAGCTATACATCGGAACTTTATTGGTAATTTTCAATTTATTCAAAATACCTTTTATTTAGAAATATTTCACAATGAAGTTCACGTTCTCCCGCAATTTCAGCATATTTTATATGAGTGCTTAATTTGAATAATATTTTTTCTACCAGAAAATATTGAGCGCAAATTAGAAGGTACTTTATATTTTTTATCGAAGATGTATCTATCCAATACTAATTTCTGACGGACAAAGAGCCAATATTTATGAATATAAGTTAAACGACTCCTTTATTAAATACCTAAAACATTTTTACATAATTTAGTATAATTATTCCAACTAAACAAAACTGAATTTACTGATTTTTTAGTATCGGTATTCAAAGTAATTTCTGTGCTGTAAGCGTTCAATATCATATCATTCCGTTGCCCCTACCAAAAGATATGATTTGCTTATTTAGGTTATAATGAGTCTAATACTAAATTCTTAATAAAAAAATTCATTTTGTGTGAAAAATAAACACATCTTAACTAGTTGCCTTATTTTTATAATTAAGCTCTGAGAATTTGAGCAGACGATTATTTTTACAACGGGATGTTTGATACTGAACGCTCGTATTCGGAATGTTTCGGGCATACCCGTATTTGAGAAAGACAAACATTGTGTTCAATAAAACGTCAAGATATTAAACGCTAAAATTCTCTAGATTTTTGTTTGTATTATATAAAAAGCTATTTAAGAAAATAACTTATAAGATATAATCGATTTCCCTAATAATATAAATACACTTAACTATAAATGTTTGTTAAATATTATATAAACTGTCCATTTCTACAGTTGTCTCCAGAAGAAATTGGTTTAACCACAGAGAGAAAGAGAGATATATATTAACATATATCCACATCAAGATCACTATATCTCCACTTAAGAGCTTTCCTAATCAAATAATGTGTGGGCGACTTGATAAAACTGGCATTCTGAATGTACTGTCATCTTAAACTCTGCATTGTGGTGTTTACATTCAATTGAAAATTAAAATAGAAAAGATTTTAAAAGGATATCAAACAAACCTATATTCATGATTTGCAATAAAGTACATGCAACTTATAAATATGTATTATATAAATACTAGTGCAATGGTGCTTTAAAAAGAACTTTAAAAACAGTACTTCGGATTTTATTCTTGAGTACAAACTAAATTGATTGTTCTCAATGACGACAACTTCTCATGAACTGTGTCCTATAATGTCGACATAAGAAACGAGAATTTCAATATGATATATTAAAATATTGAAACACCCAAAATATGTTACCTATTAGTGCAAAAATGGTCAAACAATAATAAACGCTCATTAACTTGCAAGAATTGTTTAATGATAAACATTATTCAAACTATGTAAAGTAAAATAAAAATATATTTACTGCCATGGATCTAATAAAATATGATAAAGGGTTAAGTAAATTACCAAAAAGTTAAAGCTTAAGTGCATAAAGTCAACTTAATTGTACCGTATGTTAGTAAGATGCACCCTAACCCCCTATGTTTTATCTGCCATTTTTAGTCAGACTATATGAGTATACTTTTTTAAAAAATCCTTGATTTAACAAATTTCACGAATGACATACTTTAATAGGTTATCTGTATCGATACTAAAATGCATTTTAGAACGAAATCAAGGTTCTAAACAAAAATATTATTTCACTCTTACTATCTAATTTTCAAAACTATTTTCATGTTAAGGACCTCCTTACCGTTTTAAAATTTCTGAGTTAATGCCATATTGAGACAGAAAGGTTCCTAGCTTTTTTAGTGTAACATTAATTACCTCTATTTATTCATAAACTTTAACCAAGATCTCAAAATTTCATTTTATTTAATATTGAGAAAAAAAATATATACACATGACGATTATAAATGTGCAATAAATCGAAACACGAAAATAGGATAAATTCATTAATTTTTTTTTTTTTGGTTGTTTTATAATCAACAAAACATTTTTTTGCATTTTTTAGATAACCTACCTTCCCTGTTAGTTGTTTCAATGGCAACAGTTGTAATTAAAGGCGCCTTGCTCTGGATCACGGTGATGATGATATCATGGACAAATGTGACCAATGGGCAAATACTACAAGACATCAGAGCAAAATGTACTGGAACAAATGAATTGGACTTTCTAAAAAAAGAAATTATTGCTTTGCAGAAAGTCGTAAAGGAACAAGCAATTAAAATGCAAATTCAAGAGGAACAAATTTATTCTATAAATCAAAAACTTTCTTTAAGTAAGTACAAGAAAGAATTTAAACATTTTACCAAGTTGTCTCATCTTGAAAAAAAATTAATTTAATCTTTAATTTAAATGTAAATTCTTACAACGTGTATAAAGTATTAATTTTATCGTTTTTTTTTTAAAGTAAAACAAAAAGATGATTAAATATAACAATTAAACTTTAAAAAGAAGGATGTTGAGATAACGACCAGTTTTTAATGTCAAAGTCCATAAAACAATACAAAACAAGAGCAGAGCAAACTCGGACCTCCGAAAAATCAGTTTATATCAGTTAGTATCGGTTATAATTATAAATGTGAAAAATCTTAATTACTATGATATGATCAAACATTTAAAAATGTAAACAAAGTATATGCATGTACAGGTATGAAATAATTATTATTTGAAAACGCTATATTTCTACGGGCTTTTCGTCTGTTTTCTCTAGTGGAGTTGCACAATGTAACTCTTTCCCATTTCTTAGTCTTGTCTTTTATTTTAGTTACTGCTATTCACATATACATAGAGAAACCGTTTTAGTCATTCTAAGGACGAGAAATAAGTTCCTAGTCTACCAAATATTTATGACTGGTACATTTCTGTAAGAGTAAATTTAGGTTCAAAACACTTGAACATACTTCAGTGCGCCGCCTGTGCCAACGCAGCCGCCATTTTTCAAAAAGTCGGATTTCAACCCCATGTTTATAAAACGTTATAAAATTTATATTTATCAGAGCACAAACACCAAAATTTGAGGAAATATAGTTAATAAAACAGTATTGAGAATTTTCATTTCCAATCAAAAATCACAGGGTAGTAATCACTTTTCCGTACGATTTTAAAATATAATATAATTCAGGGTTCTCCATGAGCTGTTTTACTGTGTTGCTCCCGACACAGTAAAATTTTCTCCGACACAGTAACGATTCAAATTTTATGCATGCAACACAGTAAAAATTTTGCCGACACAGTAAGATCTGTAATAATTAGAAAATCTAAACACGCAAATTCTCTCCAACTGAGACTCTAATTAAACAATTATATCGTCTTTCAATTATAAAAGCTAGAGCACTTAAACACAAGGGCTTCACCTTGCATAATCAATTATCTCCTAGACCCTCGCCGGACTTTACGCATGACGGAACGAAGACAAATAATTTGTTTTCACACTTCCATATAAGAGTTAATTGGTAGTTGCAACAAAATACATTCTTTTATTTTTAAAAAAGATATTTAAATATGTCTTTTCTATAGATTCATGGCTCTAGAATAATTTTAGCACTATAAGTCAGACATACCATCGTATCGATATTTAATCAGTCATGCATTTAATTGATTTAAATAAATTGCTTAAAATTTTAAACATATGCAAGGAACTCTTAAAATATTTCACTGATCTGAAGTTTCTTTTTTTTTATGTAATGCGATAACTCAATCAAGAAATCTGATAAATAATCACGGCAATTTTTCTTTAAAAAATGTTAAGTAGTACGACTGTATCGGTCAGAATTTCCTCTGCTTTTCAGAACGTATTTTTACTTTTAATAATATGTACTACCACAGCATTTGTGTAACTAATTAGCGATTTTTAAATAAGTTTGTGCATGTATTCTTTTGTAATTTTCACAAATAGTGATTCAGTTGCGAATTTGATCGCGAAAATACCGCGAAATTTTAGTTTTTCGCGTAAACTTTGCAACACAGTAACATTTCAAATGATGGAGAACCCTGAATTATATCAAATTTTAATAGCAACTTTTGGGTATTGCGCCGCCTTCCTATATCAAACAATAAAAATTGTCTTTTAAATTGGAATAATTTGCGTAGTTACTCCATATTTGTCCATAAATCTATTAGATAGTGTTGGTTTAATCTATATACAAAGTTTCATTAATGTATGACTTAGGGTTCCTACAAAACAACGCTTGTCTACGGAATTTTGGGACAACCCTCGTAGTTTTTGCCATGTGCTGATGTCTGTTTGTTTGTCTGTCTGTCTAGCTGTCTGATTGTCCAAAAAACCTTTATCCTTACCTATAAATATACTTAGGTTGGACCTTTGGCTTTCATATTTTGCAGGCGTATTTCCTGCGACTAAACCTTTCTTTTGGTACATTTACCACCAGCTTTGACCTTGGAATTTGACACACTTTCACACCAAAATTCTAAAACTTTTACTTTTGCCATAACTTTTGAACGCAGTTAGTTCTAGGCCTTTCATCCTTCACAAATGTATTCGTGGTGAGAAAACCTTCCATTGGATACCAACATGATTTTTTTTACTTTTAACTTGGAGATTGACCTCCTTTTTAAAAATGTTAAACTTTGGCCATAATTTTTGAACGGTTAGTGTTAAGGCTTTAATGCTTGACATATATCTACCATTTGATACATATTTTATTGTATACCAACAACTTTGACGTTTTGATCTTGGTCTTGGAGATTGGCTTACGCTTAAAAAAATAAATGTGGTACTATCTTTGATTGGTAAGAGCTAGGGCTTTGAGATTTCCTGTACATATTTTTTGTGACGATACCTTTCATTGGATACCTGTTACATTGGCCTTGGAGTTTTATCTTCTTTAAAAAAAACTGAAATTTTGAACGGTAATTGCTAGGATTTTCATATGTCGTATGTACAATCCTTGAAACATGACCTTTTATTGGACACTAACAACTTTTTTTTCCTGACTTTGGTGATTGACTTATCTTTAAAATCATTTCATTTTGGCTATAACTTTTGAACAGATAGTGCTATGGGTTTGTATTTCACCTTTATATTTCTTATATGAGATTGCCTTACTTCGGGTATCATCATGTTTGATTTTCATTTGTGGAATTGTTATCCTTCGCTATTTTGACATACGGAGACATCGATGTTTCTTCTTAAACATACAAAAAAGATACATGTAAACACATCTTATTATATTTTTCAATATACTCGTATCTCCTCATCTAGTACAATAGTAAAGAAATTGATATTCATTTTTGATGTCTGAAGTCGGTCATGTTATTATACATTTTTGCATTGGGGAAACTATATGCATGAAACATCGTAGAAGTCTAAACTGATATTTGCATACATATACACTGTTGTGACATTCTGGAGTGCAACGAAACAAATGTACTTTAGCTTTACTTCTATCAAAAGTGTTAATTTCCTGAGTAACGTAAATCAAAATTATATGAATATAAAATATATGATAATTTTTGTTTTTTTTTTGTCTTGCTGAATATAAGTTGAAGCTGATTTGTCATCATATTAATCTACTTTGACGTCCCTCGGTAGTAAATAAACTTGAAAACATGACAAACTTCATGCAATAGCTAATAATATTTCTTAAGAGGCGTAAACAAATACATGTTTAATTTTTTTTAGCATAAATAAAATTAATGGATAGGGATATAATTTTTACAGATGGTGATCAAACTTCCACAGCCTTATTAACAACTGGAAAAGTTGCTACAAACTCAAAAACAAAATTTAACAACACAACAAAAACGATTATGACAGTGACAACATCCAAAACAACTCTGAGTGTAGGGACATCGCCAATTGCACGAACATCAACGGGTAAAACTATTATTTCACTTCATGTTTATATTGAGGTTAAAATATACATTTCAGTGTTCCTCGTTTCATTTAATTATGCTTTAATTGTTGTCCTACACCTAATAATAAATCTTTTTGCAGGCATTAAAGGCAAAGAGTTTCTAGTTTTGTTCATGAGAAATTATGCCTCGGCATCAGGACCATTTAGAATGTTTATTACAACAAATAGTGATTCATCTGTAGCAATCTCAACCTCACCTAATTTGGAAGCAACAATTAAGAAAGCAACTGACAGAATTATAAACATTACGTCGTCTTCCAATATTTCGCTTCCTTTTAAGTTGTCATGTGACTATTTCAAAATAGAACCGAAAGCTGTACTGGTAGAGACATCTCAATTGTCCACCATATCTATATTTGCTAGTTACCATGTGTATAGCAACGATGGAACTTTGGTTATTCCAACCAACAGATTATCAACCAAATATCTTGTTTCTTCAACAGATCCCCGCTCAACAAAACCCGACTACTATAGTCAATTCTCTATTGCGGCCTTACATGAAGGAACGAATGTTAACATAAAATTCAGAATAAAAGCAACAAGTTCAATTGCTTTACTTGGTGGGACATACAAAAATCAAGATGTTTTCACAACAACTTTAGATAAATATGAAACTTTTCAAATAGGGCATGGCAGTGATCTCAGTGGAACCTTCATAGTGTCTACAAAACCAATAGCTGTATTCTCTGGAAATCGATATCAATATTTGAAAGGTGGTTCATATAGTCACATGGTAACTCAATTACCCCCTCTTACCGAATTTGATACACAATACATTGTACCCACCTTCTACAATAATTTGGCGACATTGATTCAGGTTGTAAGTACAAGTCCGAGTTTAATTAACATAAGTATTGGAAGCAATGTATCGACATTACATATTGCTGAACATGAATACAAAAATTTCGAAATCGATTCAGGGGAAGTCACCATTTTAACATGCGAGAATCCTATATTAATCGTTGGTTTTGGAATGGGTTCCAGCAATTTCAATTACAGTCCATATATGACTGTCATTCCTGGGATTCATCAGTATCTGGACTACTACAAGGTTTTTGTACCGGACGGATATACACATAATTATATTTGTGTGATGATTTTACAGAAGTATATAAATGATATTCAAGTAAACGATTACTCAACAGATAATTATATATTCGTGAGTCGACGCCAAGTAGTCATTTCACAGAGCACATTTAGCATTCTTACATTTACAGTAAACAGTGGAACGGTAGTCTTATCGACAACTAATAATGCAAAATTTGGATTAATTGTCTACGGTCATAGGAATAGTGATGGATACGCTTTTGCTGGAAACTTTGTACTTTCGTAGACTTCATGAAGAGAGGATCAGATTATTTCAAATACCGTAAATGTTCACATAAAGTCGTTTTGGGGGAGTTTTGGTCCAATACTCAATTTCTGACTGAAAGACACAACATTAAGAAATATATTCTGCACGGGAAAATAAACTAATTTACAAACATTTTCGACGAGTTTGGATGTTATATTTGTACATTCGTGCACTTAAAGATTATGCTTAAAATATAACTTTTTACATATTTTGATAATTTTATCTTTATCCGACGATAAGCTAGTTAGCTTAGTCTCTTTCCCTGTAGGGCCATTTATGTCATCAGCGAATCGGAGATTTGTTACTGATATTCTTATGTGTTAAAATTTGTAAAAGTGTAAGGATGCGTCAAATGTATCTAGAAAATCGTAAAAAAAAACAGGACTTTAATAATGTGTCCATTTTAAAATCTTTAGCAACATATGCAAGGATTGGTCCAAAAATAATGTCAGAACTTCGATAAAATTACTACTAGTTAACTTAAATTAACAAAATTATACATGATGGTAGCAAAATATATTCAAATAAGTCCGGAAAAATTCAATTTGAAATGATTTATACTCTAAAAAAAGAATAATATACAAAGTGCAATTTAGTTAGTCGCCGCACCTCAATCACGTCATATGACGGTTATGCGCCCTCAAACATTTTGAGAAACTTTTTCCCATCGTTTCATTAAAATGATTAAATATTCAGAAACACATGTACATAAACACATTTTAATTTCATTAAGAATTATTGTCTCCAATTGTACAATCTATCAGTAATTCAGTCCTTCATCATAATTCTTTGAACAGTACCATAAGACAAACTTAAAAGTTTCTCATACAACGTCTCACTCAAACCGCATGACACAAATCTCCTTTTTTGACAACATCGACGCCATTGAACGTTTCCACCCGACCTCGTATCATTCGGTCTTTTTGTCCTCAGCTGATCAATAAAATATCCACGACCCACCAAAATTGTTTGAAACGATCTATGAACAAGTATCCTTTTCACATTTTTCCTCTGCGAGTCTGATTTACCATCGTAACTCTTTTATAGAAAAACCGCATTGAAACTCAGTTCGGCGTTTTATTCCATTTCGACATTTCCTTTCTTCAATACATCAGATATGAAGAGCAATGTTTATGATAAAACGAAACCAATATCACCAAACAATCGTCGTCAGTATTGTTTTTTTTTAATATTTGGCGATTAGACGCTTTTTTAAAATGCATTTTAAAATGTGTTTGTCTTTTTTATTCTAACAATATACACTTTGAAACTTGACGTTTATTTTTGAATCTGCGACTACCTCTATGTTTAATGTTTTAAACGTCTATAAAATGAATTCAATAAAACATTAAAATTATATTTTCAATTTTGATTAAATTTATTTTTTACATCTTTTGGTGCATTATATTTCATAATGCGATGCCAAATATAAAAGATATGAACACAGTGAAATTACTTTTGGATCAACCCTCGTAAATGATGAAATTATAAAGAAAAATTTGGAAAATATTAATATCAAATCTGTATTTAAGCACGTTCAAAATGTTAAGTTAAATACACAACGTAAACTTTACGTGTCATTATACGTGTTTCTTATGTGAGTAAACTTTACTCATGATAAATTTGTTGTTTGATGAAAAATATCCATGCCATAAAATCAAGCCTCAAAATCGGAAACTGAGAACATACCTCAGTCAAAATTTTGTCTTTTAATATCTCGAGTTCAATTAAATGTATTTGCTTATAAATTTTGTATATATTTTTATTCTGACATATGATTAAAATTATGTTTTACCATAAACTTATTTCATAAGTTACATGCATTTGAAATTTCGACTTGTTAATTAACAGTCTTTGGGTCAGCTAGGCCACACAATGTCGAGGGATTGTGATTTCTCGAACACCCTTGGTATTGTGATGATGGACCACAATCAGCTAACAAACACTTCGTTTTTGTTGTAGCAATGTAGGCCATGAGCTGTCTCTGTACTAACATGATAAAACCTATTACTTTCTGAAATAGTACATTTATTTTTTTTTTTAGTTTACTGGTTTGGAAAAGTGTCTCCCACAATCTCTCTCCGAACAAATTTTTTAAAAAAGTTTTTAACATCAAACCTTTGCATATATTACTGAAGGAATGGAGATCAATTTTACATTGGCCTTGATACCCCTTCTTGCAAAAACAGAGATTCATATGCAGGAAACCCGTCTCGTGTGATTGATTGATTTTTTTATATTGTTTAACGTCCTACCGAGAGTGTTTCAATATGGGACGTCACCGTATGCCGGTTAAGGAATTCAGATTTTGACCTTTACTCGGCACTCAGGGCCATTAAGCAGTGAGGGATCTTTATCGTGTCAACGACTGCCGTTGACACGGGACCTCAGTTTTTAAGGTCTCATCCGAAGAACCTGCAACTTTCACTCCAAAGTGCCGAGCGCATGACAGAAGGAACAGTTGCCTACCATTTCATCTGCTGGGTCAGTCGCAGCAGAGATACGAACTCACGACCTCCCGATCACGGAGAGAGCGTTCTACCGACTAAGCTACCGTGAACGGTCCCGTCTTGTATGAATTATATTTAAAGTCGCGGAGAAAAAGGAGCTCTTCTAAAAGTAGCACTAAATGTCAAATCGTAAATTGGGGTTAAAACCTCAAAACTGTATCTTTTGGATCCAATCCACACAGTGTGTGTTTTTGGGAAATTAATACATAATCCAGACATATATGAAAAAGTGTTTCTAAAAGAGATCCCTCCCTTTCATCAAGAATAAGAGGAGTATCAACCGCCAGTTGATATATCTTTTTAACTACATTTCCAATGGTAATACCTTTTATTTTTTTATTTTTCCTTATTTGTACAGAAACAATTTCAGCGCACATAAGAAAGGTATATGGAGACAAAAAGCTGTCCTTGTCTGCATTCCCTTTGAATTTTAATTGCATCAGAGAAGTTACCTCCTTGATTAACCGTAGTTTTAATATCAGTGTAGAAAAGATTTGGTCATTTTCTAACGGAAGGGCCAAAATTAAAACAAAAGTGCAAAGATTTTTTGTATTAAGTTCCAGGAAAGAGAAATAAAAGCTTTTTTTTTTAAATAATGAAAGTCTTCTCCTTTTGTAAAGTGCATTGCATCATATATTAGTCTTATGTTTTCTCCAATATATCAGTTAGAGATAAAACCAGTTTGGTCAGGGTTGATAATTCTATCTAAATATTAAATCTTTTTGCAAAAAGAGCCAGATACTTTTTTGTATACAGTATTTAGCAATGTAATAGGACCCAGTTTTTAATGAAATATCTTGGCTTGTCACCTTTAGACAATAATGTTATAATTTAATGTCTTTGCGTAATAGTCATAAAATCATCCTTGTAACCAAGGTTAATAAATTTTAAAACAAAATACCCAATATACTTCCAAACATTTTTAAAAACACTGGAAAACATGCAGATCCTGGAGATTTTTTAGCCTTCTTATAATAAAGAGTATTTGGGGCTTCTAGCAAGGTTATTTCGCCCTCTAAATTGTTTGATTCTTATCAGGAAAGTTTGAAAGCATCAATATTTTTCAACTCATTATATAGATTTAAGTATTTTCTTTAATGGTATATAAATTTTCGTAGAAAGATTTAATTTTTTTTAAGATATGTGACTGGGCATGAATAACCTCGCTATTATTTATTTCTAATCTTGATATAATTTTACTTGTAAAATTTCTAGATTCCAGTTTGCAGAAGTAGCTTGTGGGCTTTTCCCCATCCTCAATCCATCTTGCTCTACTTCTGATGTTATTATCTAACAACTTGTGCTTTCTAATTTTCTCTAATACGTGTGTTTTATCATATAAAACTTCTAAATTACTTTCTGAAAAAAAAAATTCTTCCATATGTTTAATGTTCTCGATCAATAATTTTTCCTCTTTTTCTGTCATCCTTTTGACATATGTTGAATAAGAGATAGTTTTACCCCTTATATTTAAAAGTAAGGTCTCTAAAAATAGTTGACCATTTAAAGTAAAAAATATATTTTCTTCTGGCAATGTGTAAATATTGTCATAATTGTATGCCGGAGTTACATGTTGTTTTTTGACCTGTAAAATAGCATCCTCAATACAGTTCAAGTACCGGTACTTTTACCTAAATAAATAGTTTGTATTTTATTATGATACTGCATGGTAAAGTCGATCATTTATACCCCTTCAATGCTGAGGTTTTTTATTTTTACTAAGTATTATTTATTTACATCTGGAATGTTTTTCTTTATATAATTATGTAAATATGCTAGAGTTATTAGTAAAATAGGAATATTATTTTTGTAATGTGATAAGCCATAACCATGGTACCTGGTAAGTGCCCTTATCTTGGGAGTCTAATTAGTGTCCTAATTATCGCGCTTATCAGATGCCCTAAATGTATCAAGTGCATTGACACCTAACCACGGTGCAGAGGTCCTAATATTAATGTCCTAACAGGTGCCCTAACGATGGCGCCTAACGCACTAACAGGGTGCCCAAATGATGGAGCCTAATGTCCTAACAAGGTGCCCTAAATCACGTTAGGTGTCAGACAGTGTATATAAGGAGAGAGACCAATATTGAAGACAGTATTATCCGATTCAAGAAATTGATGTCATTGCTTCGAATAGTGACACGTCACTAAGGAATCAACACGGAACACGACGAAAAAAGATTTTAGAAACATTGAAGCTGACATCGATTTCTTGAATCGAATAATAATGTCTTCAATTCCGGTTTTGGAATAGGTTATAGCAAAAATAATTTAATCCATTTGTGACATCTATTCGAGGTGTCTATCAATATCTGGACTACTATAAGATTGTTGTAGCAGAAGGATATAAAACTAATTAAATATATATGTGTACTAATTCCGAGAAAATTTGTAAAACATCTCCTGATAAATTGTAACGCTAACAGTTCACACTTCATTGCAGTTACATTTATGAGCCTACATGTTTAAAAAGAAAATAATGATCAATTGCATAAATAAAATC